CAGAGCTTGAGGCAAGTCAGGAGTGGCAAAAGCAGAAATATCAGAGGAAAAATAAAAAGAAACAGCATCTAAAGCAGGAAAAACAACATAAGAAACAAGAACTCAATGCAAAGAAGCAGCAGGTATTACATGAGAATCTGGATGGACAATGTGATGATGCCTGCACTATTTGACGGTTCATCACAGCATAAAACTTCTTTAATATATCCAAGGTCCCTCCTGTGAGCTGTCAGGCTGAGTACAAAAGATTGTACTGTAATAATATCAGTAAACTATCAGATGAGAATGTATGTAGTGTACGTGTTCTCACAGTTCAACTGCCTTGGTAGAGCTAAGGTAGTTTAGTAGTCTGACATTTTGGCACTGTGTGGCTGTACATATTAGTAATCAAATAATGGACAATTTGAGGTGGAGTCTATGATGTGGGTTGTGTATTCTAACACCTCCCTCAGCTACGGAGGTACCTTGGCCTATACTCTCACATCTGAATGTTACAATGCCTCATGACACCAATTGGGAAAATGTTGAGGCCTTTTTCACCCAGGCAAGATCCTTAGTTCCAGGAAACTTCAACCTATTATTGAAGGATGCAGAGGAAGTACCACCCTGACAGATGGGCATCACAATTACTGGATGTCTCGGATGATTCACTTAGGGAGACCTTTCTGACAATTATTTTGCAAGTAGTTGATGCTATTAATGTACAGGCTATAGGCCTGTGTATTATATATCAGAATACATGATACGGTGACACTGTATCTAAGGCATAGAAAGAGTGGGCATTGCTTGGGTGATCACTGGATAAGGGAGGGGTGATCAGGGGCTGATGAGTGGGCAATGCCTTTTGATAGCACTCAAAATGTCATATTACAGGAGCTACCAAAATGAGAACCGGAATTTCATATTTAGAACTTTCAGACATGGCGGATAAAATATCATATTTACACCAACTTTTTGTGCACTTTACACAGTAAATTTTGGGACTCACTCAAACCTTGAGTGAAATTTGTAACAATAGGTGTCTATTTTTCAACGAATAATATATATATGCCTTTTAAATGTTCAATAAAATATACTACTTCAAATACAATTTTGGGCCCGAGCGAAATTTAATTTCAGACAACCGAAATGTTTATGTAAAACTATATATTTTATTGGCAGTTTTGGATAACATTTTACGACGTCAAAGTTGGCTGTTGTCAAATGTTCGAGACGAAGCGACCAAAGACCTACCTCTCGGATATGTTCATGCTGGTATACACCCTTAAATGTGAAACATTCTCCCAGTGGATTAAGACGTCTGCAACTTTCATATCAAAAAAGGTTGACTAAAGTATAACTACTTGTTATGTGACGTTTCGGAAAATAATGCAGATCAGTGTTAACTCAGTGATTGTTCAAAATTTTCCGAATGCCTTCCCCGCAGCCTTATTTTTTGACACTCGAAGAACATTGAAACGCACAGTCTTGGACAGTGGGCGACATTGTCCTGTCAATCACAGCGAATAAGTACTTGCTTTGTGTCCTAGAGCCACCACTCACCAACTGTGACAATATCACCGAGCTCGGCGCGAAATGCTGGGGAAACATGGGCTGCGAGGTTTTTATGTCGCTTTTCATAACGATCTGATATTCAAATGAACTGACATGGATCGGGAGCACTCATTTTCGCATGACTCACTATATTTGGGAACGTAGTGGAGGTAGTCTCGGCGTAAAATAATGGTCCTCGTCATTTTTGTAGATACGACCTTCCCGGTCAAAATACGTCCACGTATTGAAACATCACCAGTGAAAGGACATTTCCTGTCTAGATGAATCATTGAGCTTCTGAGCTTCACACATTGGATAACTGTGTCAGGAGTGTGGCATACCGATATAGGTTCCTTGAGCCGCTTCAACTGGTATTTTGAAACCAAGCCCTACGTCCTTATACCATCGTTTGTCTTTAGCAGACAATTTTTTCCCCCCTACGTTCAGCGTTTGTAAGTCAACACCAACATTGGACTCGAAGAACATGCTATATACCACGAGCTTTGACGTTTTGGAACAAGTGTTGTTTCTGGTAAGCCTTCTCGATCTAGCGCGACTATGATGCAACAACACAACACGGTATAACTATACACATACCTGCTCTGCCATATCGTAGTACTTTCAAGTTTCAGAAATTGCGAGGTACATTGCGGAAAAGCCACCAGGAGGAACTGTATAGATAGCTACGGTAATTGCCGTTGTCGGATACAGTTATTTACCGGCACTTGAACCACCACCAACGCTTGAACCAAACACAAATTACACATGAATTCCAGTCACAACAAGTAAAACAACGGTTGATGCAATGAAATACAATACTTTGCTATGCTTGGCCATAAGATAGGCCTCACTTGAGGCCACCATTAAACTAATGATTAGTATTTTACCCTTGAAATCACGAAGTTTAATAGCTACTACAGGAAATACAAATACTGTAGCCATTCTAACCAATTGAATATTTACATTTGCTTCTTGGCTTTGTGGTCCCAACACCTGATTGGAAGATCAGTGACTCCTCATCTTGCCACTACAATGCCAACGAAGAAAGTCAATAAGGGTGTCAAGTTGTTTATTAGTAAACAAGATATACCTATTATGGAATAGTCGGTATTAGGGATTGAATATTACGGCAAATAAAAACGCTCACTATGTCTACAATGCACTCAAGTTATGGCTGGCCATGCAAAATCCAAGTGCAAGAAGCAACATACTGCAATAGTTGATAAAGAAGAAGGTCTCGCATATGCAATAAAACTGTGGAATGATGACAAAGAGAAGCCAGAGGAAGATCAGAGGAGTCTGCGAGCAATTTGTTGTGAGGCAGAAGAAGAGATGAACAAGAGGAAGAAGAAGCATATTACCATTGACAGGGTTACTCTTACAAGACGACTTGAAGGTGGGAGATGCTGTCAACAAGCAAATGAAGAAAATCATTCCTGGCTTACATCTGAAGAGGAGGAGAGCATCATCAATTATTGCCTTGACCTTGCAGCAAGAGGCTTCCCACTCGATCACAAAAGGCTCAAGTTTCATGTTGACACCCTCCTACAAGCACGACTTGGCAATTCTTTCCCAGAGACAGGGGTCGGAATGAATTGGACTGGGCGTTTTCTTAATCAATACTCAGAGCGCTTGGGCACATATTGGAGTTCTCCACTTGATTCTGCTCGTGGGCAGGCAGTCAACAAGCACACACACAAAGCATGGTGCAACTTACTCAAGAGCACCATCAAGGATAATAATATTGTCAAGGACTGCATCTGGGCAGCAGACCAGACTGGCTTCTAGCCTGGGAATGGACGCAAACAGCGTGTCATTGGCCCTGCACAAAGGAAGATGCAACATCAGCAGCGGGATGGAAATCACAAAAATATCACTGTGATGGTGACCATCTGCGCTGATGGTGGATCAATTGCGCCAACTATTATCTATAAGGGGAAGTCATTTTTGATGAATTGGCATCAAGACAATACTCTGAAAGCCTTGTGAGTTTGCTTTGCTGGGCCTCTGACTAGAATACTAAGGACTCACATAATTATAGAGTTGCTCATTTGCCCAAAGGGTGGACTGATGGTGCAATTGGACAACTTTGGATGGAAGACTTTGGCAACAAAACCCGCAAGAAAGTGCACAGACAAGCTTGTCTTCTCCTTGTTGATGGCCATAACTCCCATTACACAAAGGAGTTCCTAGATTACGCCAGGGAACATATTATTCATGTTTTGTGCTATCCCACACATGCCACTCACATCTATCAAGGCCTTGACTTTGTTGTCTTCAGTCCATTGAAGAATTATTGGACGGAGGCATGTGACAGCTTTGAGAGTTCTACATGTCAAAAAATAACTAAAAACAACTTCATTATAATCTATGAAAGAGCTCATCTCAAAGCACTCACCCCTGAAACTATTTGTTCTGCATTCAGGGTAACTGGGGTCTGGCCACTTGACCAAAATATTATTACTGAAGAGATGATGGCCCCAAGCTTGGAGACATCATTCCAAGGTCAGCTGCCACTTCCACAGCCAAGCCCTGTTTGTGTCATCATGTCTCTTATGTGTCAGTATTGAAACGAGGCCGAAGATATTCAATGCACCCCATTTCCATCAACTCCCATGCCAGGACTGTCACAAAGTCCCCATACGAGTCAACCTACCAGCCAGGACAGCAACAACAATCTATTCATCAACTCGGGTTGTGGCAACACCTCAATACAGCGGCATCAACCACTTTGGCATACAGTGGCAAAAGACACTGTCAAATCACTTGCATCTACATCAGCTTTGTTTCTTGTTGCTGATACCCCACAAATCCTATAAGCGAGAGCTTGCATCAAAAAATGCACTCGTTGGAATGCAGTCAACTGTTATTTTGCAGTCAATGTTTTGTGGTTGTCTGTCAGGTCAGCTGGCAGCGCAGGAGGAAAAACAGAAGAGAAGAAAGAAGGGTCAGCTAAACAGTGATGGACTGCCGAGATTACTCACAGGTGATGAATTTTATAACCGTGTGCTTGAGCATCAAACTATTTTGGATGCAGCAAAAGCGGCACAAGAAGATTGTTGTAAACAAAAGGAGGAGCAATCTGGGGCGTTGACAGAGTGGAAGAAATTAAAAAAATTGCGGAAAACCCGGAATACAGCACATAGAGAAGCTTACCATGAGGCCATGCACTTGTGGAAGGAGGAAAGTAATCTTGCAAAACAGGAGCGAAGGTGGGTGGGGTGGGCAAAGCCAAAGCTAGGAAAGCTGGAGTCACAGGCTCCAAAACCAGGACCTGTGCAAGGTGAAGGTGACAAGACGAGCAAGGGAAATGGGGAGGTTACTGGCAGTGAGGATGAGCAAAATGATGAGAATGTTGATGGCATGGAGAGTGATGGTGAGAGTGCAGAGGAGTAACCAGTGCTACCATGACAATATTGCTAAGATAATGCTGTTTGCTGTCACTTGGTCACTGACTTACCCATTTTGGTGATGGTTCAAGTGATGGAGCATCCATAATAAGCAGTCAATCCTTGTGCAAACAAATTGCAAAAATACAGCATTCATATTTTATTTTATTTCTTTATACTATATGCTCGAGTATATACTGAAGTCATCCTACCAGCTGATCTTAATAAAATGTTGTTGTTGTGAATACAGAAGCAATCAAAAACTTGGTGGTTCAAGTGCCGGTAAATAACTGTAATTGTAGTGGCGCCTGGCGCCAGTCTCTGGTTTAAACACAAACACATCTGAAAGCAATGCTAACACAGTGAAACCCACAACAGGGGTGGAAATCAACCGCCATATCACCCGTAAACATAGTGAGAACCTATGGGCTTCCCGGTGAAAAACCTACCATGAGTTGCTAAACACCATATAACATGGTGCCAAATTTGGGTGACTATAACCAATCATATGTCTACATCACCTGCTTTTTCAAAAAAAGGTATGGAAATGAAAATCCCCGTTATACTGAGTGTTCTCCGCACCACATACACAGTCAAAATAACTGTATTTTCCAGGTGATATTCTCTATATCTGGATATTTTTTTGCCTTGAAATAAGGTGATTGTGACTCTTCCACATAAAATCTTTACACATGAATCATACAGTTGCTACACCCAAATTTCTAGGTTATTTGTGTAGGGGTGTGATGCAGCTTCAACGTTGCAACGAGTATGAGCTCTCACCAACATGAACTGTGAGAAATGAATACTGTATTAGTTTTCCATTTTCTTGAATTTCTCCAATAGTTTTATTTTCCTTTGGACTCTAATTTTTAGTACCTCAGTTTATTGCACATTGAATTGAAGTGAGCATATCAATTTAGACTTACAGTAGAATCATCTTTTCTGAACATCTTCCATAGACTTCTACTCATTTACAACAGTGAGAATATCATAATCTATGTCAGGTTACGAGCCCTGCTAGCATAAAAGACATGTCTCATGTCGAAAGATCTACCTCCTTAAGTATGCCCACGCCAGAGTATAAAAACTTTGGTTGTAACAGTGGATATACCCCTTAGGATAGGACCAAGTTAGTTGAGAGTAATCAATAGGAGGACTCACTGGGGAGTCTCCTTGATCTGTTAGGTTTATATACTACTACAATGTGTTTGTACATGTGTATTATACAGTTGCTAATTGTGGTGGCTGATGATGTCATAGGGCACAGCCTTTGTGACCAGCTCCACCACATGAGAGTGTTTGTATCTAAAAATAAGAGAAAGCAGCACAGCACGAGAAAGTGAAGATAAAAGTGGGGTTGAAAATAAAGGAAAGCACAAGTGTCCAAAAAAAGAGGAAGAAGGTTGAAGAGGAGACTGAAAGTTAGTAGTCCGAAAATTGTGTACCATAACAATTACAGCACTGTTTGCTATGTAATGAATGTCCAATAATATTGACCTGTTTCAAGAAAGTGGAGTCCTGAAGTTGGCATCAAGTGTCAATGCCAATCCTGAGGATTTTCTAATTGAACATCCTAAAACATTGTAGCACTAAATTCGAAAAATCAACACCCAACAATTCTATAGCTATTTTCTCAAACAATTTGGTGTCCATCTGCGTTGATCTTGGGATTCTAGTTATTTACCCAAAGATCTATGAAGGAGATGCTGACAAAACCGGATAAACCCGGTCTCTGCCAAAGCAGCCATTGTTCTCCATGGAGCATAGCCACCACTCCATGGAGTAACCATTGTTCTCCTAGGAGTCATTATACTGTAGCGAGTAGCACCTCCGACTATAAGTAGTAGGGGGTTTAGTATAGGAATACCTCAGTCGTTTCTATAGCCTCTTGGGCAGTGGCTGAGGTATGTTACATTACATTTATTAGAGATCACCTTAAACTAACATCTATTGTAGTTTCACTTAGGTAAATAATAAAGTCGTTTCTATAGCCTCTTGGGCAGCAGCTGAGTTTCACATAGGTTTATTAGATGCTCCAAGATTGTCACAATATCATGGGCATTACATCAGGAAAACAATGATGGTCTGACAAAACCATATATACATATATCTACGCTGACATCTCTACCTTTCATGTCATTGTGATTGTTCATGGGACCATGGTATATATTCACTGGCAGAGTCTATGAAAATCAGCATTTACATCATGGTTATTATTTCCGATGGTGTGTATATATTTCATGATCACTCGTACCAACATGCCAATATATTATAGCCTGTGGGAGCTTTAATGCATTTCAAAAACACTATGAGGCTGCCTTATTTGTATGGTAACATGTTGACAATGTTGGAAGACTTTGTTTTTCGACAAAAAGAGAGGTCTTTATGATACATGGAAATAGCCTATGGGAGTGTTGATGATGTTGAGCTTCACTTTTAGGCAGCTAACTTGAGTTCAGCTATATATACCTTTTGGTTGCAGATAAAGTGTATCATGAGTGAATGCTCTGCCAAAGGGTCCATCCATATTTTGGACAGTATATACTGTTGGATCCTCCTTTTGATTTACTGTAAAATACAGATCTATCTGTTGATGTCAACCCACTCAGATGATTGAAAAAATCAAATTGTTGTCACACTCTGCCTGATAATCTATTCTCTCAGTACTGCAGCATGGTGTTGAGTAGAAAACAGTTTCCAGGCATCTATACCCAACTCAATGGTATCAGGGTGGCAGTCCTACTAACCTGAGTAGGCATTGGTCCTCATAATATAGTCAATACCTGTCACTTTCATCATGGTTTAGGAAGACCAATCATTTTCTTGTATCTCAAATATGAATATTATATTCTAACAACAACAATTGTCCCCTTGTTCACTAGCAGCGCAACTCAAAACAATATACATATGAAGCATAGCAAGGCTTTAGAAGATCTATGTCTCATTGGCAATTTTGTGCGGCCCTTTGATCACAGATTCTTGCCAGCACACTATTTTTGGATGGTGGATGTTCAGGAGCGGCAGTGTAAGCAGGGACTACCTGACTGTTCCATACTGATCAGCACATAAGAAGCGGAGGACATGGCAATGCTGTCTACCAATTTCACCAGGCCATCAAATGATTGACCTCAACATTCTCTTCCGGATCATCTAGTAACTCCAGAATGATATTATAAAAACGCTCCGAGTCAGTAATGAGGTCAGTGGGCAAAAATGTTGAGGCTGAAGTGAGTGAAAATTGAACCTAGCAGGTAACAAAACATGAGTTATTATCCCTTTATATCAAAAGTCTTTAAATTGAACCACTTACTTGAGTAGCTATGTAGACAATAGAAGTTTTGGTGACCGCTCACATATCATGTATATAAGCATTACCGGAACATGTGGCCTTGGGTGCTTGGTCAACAGAGCTTGATGAAGTGAATATATGTTTGAAGGCCTATTGTATAGATGGGTTAGCATATAATCACATTAAAATTTGCAGATCCAATCTACCCAGTTATGCGGACAAAGGTTCGGAGGACAAAGGGCTTGGATGCACAAGATTATCTAAAGGTTCAAATTATGCTTGAGAATAGCATCTATCAATGAGTTTATATCACAATGCATAAGCTGCGGCAAAATAGTACTACTAGCACCTTAAAGCAGGAGTGGTCAAAAAAAATGTTTGAATGAGTTTCCACAGAACAATTGAAATTCACATAGCACATCATAGTAATTATACGCAGAAAAAATACTCCAAGGTGAAAAGAAAACACATATTCTTGAGATTCTGTTTGAAACAATGATGGCTTCAAGTTAGGCCCAAAATGGTGGCAGCATTCTTCAGATAAGAGACAAGAGCAAAACTGTGGTGGGTAAGCAGGGCTGGGCTGATGAACTACTGTGACACTGCTTGACTTCATAATACTAGCAAGATCCAGTTGAGGACTAGGATAATTGAGTTGTGTATGCGGTTCAGTTTGTGCAAGGTAATATCATTTGTCAAATCCAAAAAAGATGGTTGGTACATCCCGGACTCCCAGTCACCCAGAAAGATGTATACCTAACAAGTTCTCAGTATAGGTTGTGCCAGTGTAATAAGAACCAATGTACTATTGTTCCTATATCAGCAATGGTTGACTTCGTGAAATGTGTCAGAGTGACCCAGTTTGAAGAGACGGAGTGCCATATTTGTATGTCTATCAAATGTTGCGAACCCTGCAAATAAATAAGTGAATCAAGAATGAATACAAAAGCAGGGTGGTCAAACAATCTGTCAGTAATATTGGCACTTGAATGATGCTAATGTTAGTCGTTAAAGTCAATTTCAGTGTACATGTAGAAAGATCATTGTGATGGTACTCATGGTCTTCAAGTCAGTGTGAGTGTCTGTTCTGGATGCGAGCTTCATAAAACCTGAATGAAACAGGCCATAGCCTAGATCAGGATACCAAGCACAAAGAGCCTGGGCTTTTCTTCTGTTGATTGTCTTTGAGTCTTGCGTGGAGATGTATACTGTCAGGCAGTTTTGAAGCAACAATGTGTTGAAAATGAATGAGAGTTGTGGTGTGCTTGCTAGAGCAAAGGAAGCACTGAAAAAGTGTTGTATGGAGGCTCAGGATCATGATGGTTTGTGTTAGACTTGGATGCGGAAAACAAACTTAGAATGCCAGCTTCCGATGCAGGCATGACTATAGGCAATCCTGAAAGCTTAGCAAACTTGCCAACCTCAGATACAAATCTGAAGGTAAGCATTTATTTTGCATTTGAAAATATCACTGTTCTCACTGCAGTTTTGTTCCCAGGTCACTGGTTTGTTGGGTGTAACCCTCAATGACTTGGATGGTTTACCACTTGCTCAGCGCAGAGTGCGCAGGACAAATTGCCGCTTGCCACAGCACTTCCACGATTATCCCCCCAAACCTCCCCTCCCATTAATATCTGCTGTGCTGTCCAACCAAGATGGATTATCTCTGCAGCTTGCATCATCCACATCAAATCCAGACTCTACCATTGCAGTCCCAAATCAAGCTCACTTCCATTTTCTTACAAACAGAATGCTACTCTAATGAGAAGGAATCTCATGCTTTAACAAAAAAATATTTGCAAAAATATGCCAAATTTGTATGGCTGAAATAGAAACAGGAAAAACCCCTCCCTTATCACTTGCGGATAGATTATGGCTTGGGGAAGTCCCCATTGAATTAACGTGGTTAACAATTATGGAACAAAGATTAATACCAAGGTATTTCTCCTTGGTACACATTATGACACTATATCCAAAAAAAAGGAGCAAAAAATTGGGATACGAGAGGCCTCAATAGTGGAATAAAGGGCAAGGTATCAACATACAGGCTAAACATGAATAAGATCCTCAACAGTATAGCCGATCCAATCTTGCCACATAAACCTTCAACATTATGTTCAACCATAGGGCACAGGGGGAAAATATCAATTTTTCCTTAAAACAAATGCTGATAAAATTGTATCTAAAGACAAAGTAAACACCCCTTTTTTCTCCAGATAAAATGGTAATAAAATTCAAAACTATTACTTGAATTTCTCCCTCTTATCTTAGGATGTAGCCACAAAAAACATCATATAATGTTTTTTTCATCAAATTAGAAGGCTGTTAAACTGAAGGGAAAACTTGAAGCAAAATATGTGTAAAAAGAAAGAAAAAAGGAAGTAAATTTTGAATGTTAATTCAATGATTGCTAGATCCTTGGGTTAATAAAATTCAAAAAACTTTGGCCTAGTAACATGTATATTTTTCACAGTACAACATCACAAAATAATCAGTTCTACATTTAACCTGTTTTGTCTGCTTACCTTTTTATTCTAGTCAATATTTTATTTACATTTTCTTTGAAGAAAAAGTCTAAATTTGGAGGAGAGAAAAATTGTAAAGAAAGAAGGAGAAGATCTACATTGTTATGCTGAGATAAATTATAAATTGAGTTGTCATTTAGTCACCAACTTGACTGTGCAAAGATTTCAATAAAAACTTTTGAGCAATTGAAATAATCTGACAATACATATAACATTTTAATGTGAGAAAAATGATAATTCTAGGTCCAATGTTTTTTGTGGCTACATCCTAAGATAAGAGGGAGAAATTCAAGTAATAGTTTTGAATTTTATTACCATTTTATCTGGAGAAAAAAGGGGTGCTTAATTTGTCTTTAGATACAATTTTATCAGCATTTTTTTCAAGGAAAATTTGATATTTTCCCCCTGTGGGGGTTACCACTGTTGGTCCAAAGAAAAGCATATGAAAATTCCTTTGGCAAAATAATCCTATTTATGCCGATATCGAAATCAGTCCTGAAAAATTGGCAATGTTACCTGAAAACAACATACCCGAAGAAATAATAGGCATTGTTTGTTACTCAGAGGACATGGACCTTTTAGAGATTGAGCGAGATAATTATGTTCTGGAAGAGCAAGGTAAGTATACAAAACAAAAAAAGGATAAATTTAACGTAAAGACAGACCTTTTTGAAGTAGGAGGTATAAGAGATATTGAAGAAAATGAAGTTAATGAAGTTAATACTAATGTAAAAAATCAAGGTTAGTCAAGATGATGTATTATTTTTACAAATGAAATGACATTAAAATATAGAAAATGATATACCATTGCAATCTCTTGGCGTTGTTAATGTGTGTGCAAGTGATATTCAGGAAAACAAAATACTTGCACATGCATTAGCAAATGTATCCAGAGACATTAAATAAGTTAGTTTTGCTGTTAGCTGTTAAACAAGGTTTGGAATTTGTAAACAAATATCCTAGGCAAGATGAAGAGGAAAGGTACTTCAAAGGATATGCAGAAAATCCAAATCACTTGGTCGGAACTTTTCCATAGTTATTCCCATATGGCAAAGGAGGATTGGAAACAAATACAAAGAGGCCTGTAACATATGAACGACACATTTCATGGGCTTTGCAATATGCAGACAAAAGATTTTGTACCAACCATCAACTCATGTTCCAAGCATTTGGAGTTATTCAATTATGTCAAATCTGTCGATCAGCTTGTTTGCAGCTGAACAAAGATACATTTATCCAAAACAAGCAGGAAATCCAATCTTCAAAAGTCAAAAACTTTGCTGTTGCAAATACTGAAGAGAGTCAAAAGAAACTCATATCAAACCCAGTTATAAAATCTCTAAAGCGGCATCTGTCAACCATCAGAGCAAAAGTGGTAGGAACAGATGAGTTGAGAATAAAATTATGGGCACATGTCTGGGGATTCACTATCATGAAAAGTCCTCCCACACTTTGGTTAACGTTGAATCCTTTGGATACGTATAATCCAATTGCTCAAGTACTTGCAGGCATGGAAGTAAATTTGGATGATTTCATTGCCAGTATAGGACCTAATCCCACTACAAGATCCCAGTTAATAGCAAATGATCCATATGAAGCTGCCCAGTTTTTCCATTGAATAATCCAAATTGTCATTGAAACACTACTTGGGTTCAAAGGATATAACAACAAAAAATTAGAAGGCAAAAAGGCATATTTGGCAAAGTTGAAGTGTTTCTTGGGACAATTGAGGCACAAGGACGTGGAACACTTCATTTGCATATGATGATATGGTTAACTGGCTCGCCCCCAGCATCACAGATGAAAGAAATGCTACAAAATGAAGATTTTTGAGAAAAAATTATTGATTTCATAGGTCAAACAATTCATTCTCACATTGATGGACTAGAACAAAATGACTTGAATAAACAAAGCAAAGCAATCAATCCCATGTTCAGTTTACCACTCCATCCAGTCACTGAAAATTATGATATGCTGTCGAAGCAAACAGAATGCACTATTAGCAAAAGTGTTCAAGTACACAAATGTGGAAAAGGATGTGAAAAAATTGTAGATGGTAATTTCATTTGCAAATGACAAGCTCCTTTGCAATTAGCCTCTCAAGACTGGGCAGATGAAAAAAGGAACTGGGGATCAAAGCAATTATGGGTGTACCTCAACGCATGGAATCCTGAAATACTGCAATGCATTAGATCTAATCACAATATTAAAATCATGCTCAACGGGGTGGATACAAAGAATATTGCATGGTACATCACCCACTATGTGGCCAAAAAACAATGACAATCATCAAATTTAACTGTGTTACTGGCAAAAACATTAGCTTTCCATAAAGGCAAAGAGAAACATAACTCCAACTTACAACATGCAAATAAAAATATGCTACAACATTGTGCAAATACTCTGAGTTGCAAGCAAGAGTTCAGTGCTCATGAAGTGGTTAGTTACTTGATGGGATGGGGAGATTGTTATGTCTCTCACCATTTTGAGACTATTCATTGGGATGTTACGATAACACAATTTTCGGACCTTTCCTTTACTTTCATTCTCCGCTTCAACCTTGTAACTTTAGCTTTCACACATGGTGCCACGCGGCACTTCCCCTTTTGTCCAAACTCCTCCTTCTTGCGCCATGTTGCCTTTCTTCTTATTTTAGACACAACTCTCTCACACAGTAGAGCTGGCCATGTGGGCTAGGCCCCATGACATCATCAGCCACTGTCTCTATCAACTGTATAGTACACATGTACAAACAACCCTGTAAGTAGTATATATACCCAAATAGATCCAGGAGACTCCTCAGCCAGTCCTCCTGTTGTATACCAACAAACTCTCTGCAGCTCAAGGGGTAACCACTCCTTCATCATCTTCCTTAAAGTGTGTTCTGTGTGCACCAGAGTAACTAACTCTTGGTTGTTACATGGGATACTATTGTATCTCATATTCAAAAGATGTTTCATCTATCAACACAGGAAAGACATGTGAATGATGATCAATATAAAATGCTACTTGAAACTTACTTTTAACAGAGTCATAAAAGTGAAGAAGTCCAAAGAGAAATCATAGACAGGCATCTTTGTACACATGACCAATTGAAAAAAATACTGTATATAGATAGAGGTGATGAATTAGAAAACTACTGCTATCTCAATTTCTTTCTGAACACTTATAACGGACAACCATGCGTCCAAAAAGAAGGATCCAAGCAAATAAACCAATCATTGAGTATTAGGGTTACATACAAGGAAGAGAGCGGCCATCATGGATGATGCAGAATCATTCAAAACAAAAATCATGAAACAATGCCATACTTCCCAGGACAACAATTCCCAAATGCCAACAAAATTGAAACTTATCCTTTGTAATGTGCGTCAATCTTAGTGTTGTTACAACCATGGAGAAAACTACAGGAAATAGTAAAAGAAGGTCAAAGTCTCGAAGAAAGTTTTTCAAATTTTATGGAAAATATATTGGAGAAAATCGTCGAGAATATTCAATCCTATCACGATTGCTCTTCAGTAGCGAATAAAACAACTTCTGATATGATGGGGGCTGCCATGAATGTTATTTCAGACAATGAGGACAAAGAAAAATATGAAAAAACTGAAGAAGTCGTACAATCAATAGCAGAACACAATATCAAACTTGCAATGGCAGAAAAAGGAACAACAGCTGAAAATTTATACACATAATGCACCATAAATATTGCTGAAGACATTGGAATATTTCTTGATTGTGCATGCAACACAACATACAATATCCCCTGTACAACTGCAAAAATAGGTAAGAAATCATCATCAATTTGTAAAGAAAAATAGAAGACTAATATATTACAGACCTGATAGAGCACATAGAGAAATGGAAAGACATTATAAATCTAAATCAATCAGACAATGATGAAGAAGATTTTTTGAGCAAAGACAATGGACAAAATATGATCTATTATCAAAAAAAAATCAAGTCAAACCAAGTGTATTCAGTCTTCATCCACCAAACACCAAACAAAGGGAAGTTGAACACCTACAACAACTCAACAGTGAACAACGCATGGCACATGAAATAATAATCAATATTGTTCAATCTTATTTGAATAGCACAAAAACAGCACAACTATTGATGATTATAAACAGCCAAGGTGGAACAGGAAAAACCACAATGTTAAACACAATCTCCAAAACATCACAAAATATAGGTGCAAAACACCCTTTCACCAAAATGGCTTTAACAAATGTAGCCGCAAGCCTGATAAATGGGTCTACCTTACATTCTTGGGCAGCATTGCCAGCACAAGGTAGCCCTAAAAGCAAAAAGTGGTTGACTTCACCAACAAAACAATCTGGAAACAAACACAAAAACAACGTAAAACCAATTGTATGGTTGGTGATCAACAAAATGAGCATGCTCACCACAGAGCAGCTTTGATTGCTCAGCCAGATCATTGGACATGTAAAATCTGATCAAGGAGGGCCGGATGCCACAATTCTATTTGGTGGAATAAACACCATACTCATGGGTGATTTTCATCAGTTTTCACCTGTTGGTAATATCCATAAATTGTTATATGCACAAAAACCGCCTAACTCCACATGTGCGTTGGGAAGGGTATTGGATTTAGCCATGTGACCTCACATAGCCACCTGACCACAGGGAGTGCATAAAAGCAAAGTGGACCAGCCGGGGATTGAACCCAGGACCTCTGCCTATATATGGCGGTGCTCTAACCAACTGAGCTACCAGCCCTTGTACTAATGTCAACTCATGACATGTGTTGTCTAATAAGGCTAACAGGCTTTGACCTTGACTATTCCAACAAAGGGAATGGTTTTTGTAGTTCACCACTGTAATAACTCTCCATCAACAAATGAGAATCAAAGACAAGAATTGGAGCGAACTATTGAACAGAGCAAGTACAGGAGAATGCACCAAAATTGACGTTAATTTTCTGCAATCCTTAGTTTTAACCAATGACACATGCGACATTCCAGACTTTGATGCTTCACCTTGGAACAATTCTATTTTGATAACCCCGCAGAATAGTGTGTGGAAAAGGTGGAATAAATGCGCAATTGAAAAACATGGTAACCACAGTGGGAAATAGACTTCAATTTTTTGGCTATCGACATGCCTGCTTCAGGATCACTTGATATGCTAGATCACTTTGCCATTGTTGGACTTGCACTAGAAGCAACAGAGAACCTTGCCTCAAAACATGAATTAGCTATAGGAATGGATATAATGATAACAAAAAACATATCACCTGTGAACGAGCAAGCAAACAGATCAAGAGGCAAGATAACTGATATCATACTTGATCCAAGAGACAAGTCTACAATGTCTACTGTGAATCATTATTTACCATTATCAGTCTTGTACAAGCCTTTCAACTCACCAAGCATAAATTTTCCTGGTCTTCCACCTTGAATAATCCCTCTTTTTCCAAGCAAAAGCATTTTCTACATCAAACCACACAGAAAAATCAGAAGAACACAGTATGCGTTAACACCCACAGCATCCTTCACTGATTTCAAATCACAAGGACAAACGCTGAACTGTGTAATAGTGGACATAGGAAAAACTCCTTCATTCCAGGTTTCAAAATTCAGAGCATATGTAGCTCTATCACGAAGCAAAGAAAGTAAAGACATACACCTTCTAAGAGATTTCGACAAAAATTTGGTCACAACACATCCTTCCGAGGACCTGAAAATCGAGGATGCGAGGTTAGAAATGCTGTTGTCTCTGACAAGACAAAACAACAATACAGTGGGTCGATACAATAGTAAACATCCGTGAATTATTTGTCTCTATTATTTTTGACACTTTTGTGGCGCAAGTCACCCAGCATATGACCTTGCAAGGTAATTCCCGAAACTTTCACGCCGGACAAATCCCACGTGAGTTGATTTTCGTATGGATTTCTATGGCTTTGTACTTATCGACTTCTCACTGGGCCTGATGCTCAGCAAAAAGACATTGCCAATGCTGTCTTTACTGACACTTTACATTTTCCATGGTATCTATCGCATATATAATGGGGTGATCTCATTCCTGTATACTCAGTTGTCAGCGCCACCGAAACCCCTCAGCGCTCATCGCGAGTTATTCCCAGCCCATTTGGGCATCATACTTGTGGTCGACGAGGAGATAGATGTCGAGGCCGCCACTGACACATTATTGCAATCTATAGACAATGCTGCCGTATGGTGTCACGAAGTTGGAATTCTGGATCTCACTGTTTATGACAGCAAAGGCATGGAATAACATCAGACGAGGCGATGTAATATGTTAACGATCTATTATTAGGCATTCTTATGAAGAATTCTGCAAGTGTACGAAAAACAGTGAAACCATCCCGAAACTTATCTTCAAGCTATCCCTTAAACACTTTACGATCAATGCGTATCTCGCCTGGCATCGCCAGGCTCCGGCTTGATTTCGCTGCAATGCGATCATCACAAAATACCTCATGGTTTCCAACTGGCGGTCGCAAGGAGGTCACAAAGAAGCATCATTTGCAGCAGAAGCTCCAAGCTGAACCTACCAATGCTGTCGTTGATGGCCATCAAAATATTGGGAGCTCCTCGTGTCCTAATCCTTTGACTATTCGCCTTGTTTCACCGACGTCATCCAAGCCCGCTATAGCATCTGCAGCCTGCTTGCTTGCTCGAAGCCAGCAGTCCCAGAAAGTGACACCCGTAAAGCATAAATTTCAGCTATCTACAGATGAGCTAGACTATATACTCGAGAGTAAGTTGGAGGTGTCATCTTTATACATCTCCACTAATGCCGCTTCAAAGGTCAGACAGGAGTGCCTTCTCTTGATTTTATCGTTGTGCACCATATGGATCCTCCATGCCAGAGAGCCCTTGAACTACACGGCTTTCCACCGTGGCATTTAGCTGTGACGGAAATCTTGTGTGTAACTTGTACTCGGATTCGACGGATACTCGGGCTTACTTTATGTTCTATGTAGTGTTACTCCACTTGAAAGGGACCACACCTGGAAAAAACGATCAATGCCCGCTACCCTTCTACCACTGGGCAAACAAGCGTTTTGCCGAGCACTGGATGAGTATTCCAAGACTGAGACGCGCAATGGGAAGTGAGCCTTGCTTACTGGTATCGTGACTAATCGCCATAAAGTACTACTGTTAAGATAATGCGGTGCAACAAGAGGTCGCTGTGGACATCATCAATCTTGGGAGATTTCTGCCAACTATATTAGTGTCTTACAAATAAAGTAATGGCTGACATGGTGAAAATTATTATATATGGCTATTACAACAGCAAATAAAATAAACATTGCCCTTTGGGCAGACCTGGACCCGGCTGAGTCTGATCACAGTTGGAACAGTTTAAACAGGAATTGAAATGGATTCAATACAAGTGAGGATTGTACATTATATCAAGTTAGGTTCATTAGCATTTGATGGAGTCTTTGTTCCGTACAAATGTCTGTCACTGTGTTCCCACTTGCGTGATACCACCAAATTGTTTGTGCAAGGTCCGTGAGGTTGAAGCATTGTTTGGTGTTTTGGAGGTTCTCCTGTGCCGCGTTTTCCATCACAATTATTGGACCTGTGATGTTGCCAGGAATGTGTGGGTTTTGCAGTGTGTGTGCAATAGAATTTATACCCAAAACTTCCTTTGAGCTCCCTGGCTACATATTTAAAGTGGTTGAGAACCTTCATTGTTCTTTTTTCCTGCCTAGTTGACGGTTTTGCTCCAGGTGAATGTTCCCATTGCGCAATCATTGCTGTCAAGTCAGGAGCGATCTCGTGCACTTCCTCCACAATTGTGTCACGTTCACAAGCACTGACAGTGAACAACGTACTTTTATTAACCTCTCTTTTCTGTAAGATGTTCCAACATATGTACACAAACCTGGGATCTTTTTGGAAGGGAGAATCATGCTGTTGCAGTAAGTTCCGCAACTGTTGTTCGAACAATATTTTCTGATCAGGGCAACAATTGGATTCGTTGAAACCTGCTATTCCCCAAGGATTGAGGTGTGGGAAGAGGTACATTAAGAAGCCAGGATTGCTATCATTGAGGAACTCAGAAGACACCTGCATTCCACAAACTTGCCACCGTCGAGAACACAAGCAAGCACTTGGGCTTTCATCAACTTATGATTCTGAGGAGTGTTATCACCCAAGGTGTACCCAACAGCATCCATTACAAGATTATGACCTGGAGTAATGACATCTGTAAGAGTGTTGTGGAATTCACGCAGATTATCATAGCTGGCCGTTGCTGCATCTGCACCTTGGACATTATCCATGTGGCAAATTTGTACACCAGCGGGAACAGCTTCATCTACGGCATTATCAATCCTAGCCAAATAAGTCAGCTCGAAACCACGAGAAAACACTCCATATCCCGACCATTTGGTTGCCAATTGAGATATCTATCATCCAGCCATCTTCCACGTCCCAACATTTCATCGCAGGCAAATTTGTACACCAGCGGGAACAGCTTCATCTACGGCATTATCACTCTCAGGATAAAGAGCGTCTAGATTTGTGACACTCATTGATATGCCAGCAGATGAGTACCATGAGTTGTGCTGTACAAGGAATTCAATCAGCCTCTGAACACATTGTTTAGAAATGAGAACAGGACACAGAGACATCATGTTTTCCCTAGTTGGTTTAACTTTTCTGCCAATGAACAAGGCGCACATGGCATCCGCTATTTTGTTTTTGTCAGGAGGGAGTACTTTGCACAATTTCACGGAATTCTGTGGCATAACAGCAACATTACCACAGATATATTTTTGGGACATAGCAGTATTTGAAGCAAATGTCTTAGTATAAGCTTTGTGAGCAAAGAGATAAGACAGCTTAGTAGCACTTGCATGAGAAACTCTTACAAAGTTGTGTTATCCCAGCAACCACATATATCAGGAGGGAGTTCTGGAATGCTATGATAATGAAAGTTGGTGAGGCTATCCAGAGGTTGTTTCTGTTTTTCTACAAGGGAGTGATGACAAGGCCCACATATTTTCATATAGCTGGTTTTTTGAAGATCCTCAAGTGCTCTATAGTCCAAAAGGGCTTTGTTGTATGCATGAAAGTTATAGTTTGAAGGTAATGTGCACAGAGGAAGGCATGCATTCTACAGTAGTTCAAGGGATAGCATACTAGCATGTACATGACTGAATTCTGAATCAACACAACTTCAACAACATACTGCGCAAGGCTGACATTTCTATGCATCAAAGGACATGAGATTTTGCCATTCTTGAATAATAGTTTTTTTCAACCCTGCACTGGTAAGAGGAGGAAAATCAACAGGCTCCTCTGGCATTACATGTACGGGACTAATCTGCCTTTTGACATACTCGTGGTCATATTCAGACTGGAAGGCAGGGAGAGCAATTGTACTGTGAGGAACATGTGACAAAACCGGATAAACCCGGTCTCTGCCAAAGCAGCCATTGTTCTCCATGGAGCATAGCCACCACTCCATGGAGTAACCATTGTTCTCCTAGGAGCACAATTGTACTCCTAGGAGTCATTATACTGTAGCGAGTAGCACCTCTGACTATAAGTAGTAGGGGGTTTAGTATAGGAATACTTCAGTCGTTTCTATAGCCTCTCGGGCAGCGGCTGAGTTTCACTTAGGTTTATTAGGTTATGAGCCCTGGTGCGCAAAAGCTACGCAGGAAATGATTCTTATTTGAAACGGCAACCTCGGAACCATGACCACAGCATGTGATACATCCGCATGTCCAGTTCTCACTGGACCCAACAATTTTCAGATATGGAAACTCCGGATCATCTCAAAGCTACATCGGGAAAAAGTTCTCCGGGTTGTTACTGGAGAGGAGCTTAAGCCCTCACCAGGAAAACCTACCTCCTCGGAGGATCCTGAGATCACCTGGATACTAAAGGATGAGAAGGCACATGGAATCATCCAGGACCACATCTCTGATGCCCTCCTAATGAGGACTGGAGACCTCACCAGCTCCAAGGAGTTATTTGATAAACTTGTCTCACTCCATCAAACATCCAACATTGCCTCGGCCTTCTATTCATTCCAGCAACTCACCAAATTGTCCTGGGATGGGACATCACCTATCCAGACCACATTGCGAAAATCCGGACAATTGATTCACACCTCTCCGGAATAAAACTAGGAGTTGATACCAAACTCATGGCTTTTGCTCTTCTCCAATCTCTCCCATGCACTCCTGAATGGCAAATATTTCAGTCATCAGTAATCAACACGATTGAAGAAAATAAACTTACCTTTGATGCAGTTGAGATCTGGATCACTGCAGAAGTTGCACGACAGTCAGGGAAGGCCCCTGGAGGTTCTGAATCAGCACTCAAATCCGAGGAGAAATGGTGTAACTTCCACAAAGCCAAATCACACAACACCTCGGAGTGTCGAACACTTCAGTCAGCTGAAAAAGGTCAAAGGAAGAAGGGAAAGGAAATACACAACGATAAAGGAAAAGAGAAGGAAAAGGCAAATACAGCCGAGCAATCATCTGAATCTGACTCCGAGGAGGAACAGAGTCATATTGCATTGGATCATGTACATATTTCCAAGCCCCTTGCTAAACGCATTCAAGCTTACCTTGTGTCGGAACCCAATAAGACCAAAACAACAATTGTTATTGACTCTGGAGCAACATCCTACATGGTCCCTCACCGCTCCTGGTTTGAGCCAGGAACATACCATGTTCTGCATCCTCTGAGGACAATCAGTTTTGGGGATGAATCCTCTGTAAATGCCATTGGCATTGGAACAGTAATCCTACAAGCAACTGTTGGCAAAAAGGACTACAATATTGCACTGTCAAATGTCTTACTTGTGCCAAATTTCACGTTAGCACTCGTCTCTGTCCACAAATTGTCCAAAACGGGGTTATCAACACTTTTTCCAGCAGGGTCAAATGCTTGTGAAGTTCGGAAAAAGGAGGAACTTATCCTCACTGCATTACACAAGGGAGGACTTTATCACATCCAAGCAAAACCTGAAATCAACCCGGAGTCAGCTTTTGCAGCAGTAGATGTAAATTTATTGCACAGGAGAATGGGACACATTGGAATAGACTGCTTGCAACAAATGGTTACAAAAGGACAGCTCCAGGACGTAGACACCCTTACCGGAACCCCGGAGTTTTGTGAACCTTGTGCTTTAGGAAAGATGAAGAAATTACCTTTCAAGTCCACTGGAGGAAACCGAGCCAAGCGCCCCATACAAATTGTGCACACAGATGTTGGAGGACCAATCAAACCAACTTCCAGGGAGGGTTTTCGGTACTGGATTATCATTGTAGATGATTTCTCCAAATTTCCATGGATATATTTCCTAAAACATAAAAGTGAAGCACTGGAATGATACAAGCAATGGAAAGAAGATGTCCAAACATTCTTCCGGACTCATTTGGGAGAAGAAAACTTCACTCCACTGTACACAGAATTCCTCCGGAGTGATGGGGGAGGAGAATATACTGGCAATGCATTCAAAAATGAACTCTGAGGAGATGGTGTCATCCAAGAAACTACAGCTGCAGATACTCCGGGACAAAATGGCATTGCAGAACGCATGAATCAGACATTGGCTACATTAGCAACCACTATGCTCCATGATTCCAAGCTCCCAAAGTCATTTTGGGTAGATGCCATGCAAACAGCTGCATATATCACAGCATGCAGCCCAGCATCAGGACTCCATGGAAAGACCCCATATGAAATACTGTTTAAAAGGAGAGTTGATCCAACTTTGTTTCGCCCTTTTGGATGCCAAGCATATGCCTTGATTCCGAAAGACAAAAGGCAAGGGAAGTTTTACTCCAAGGGGCGCAAAGCCATAATGATTGGCTACACACATGGAAAGCAAGCCTACAAACTCCTAGACACAGAAAAACGGATTGTGTTTTCCAGTCGGCATGTCATATTCAATGAATCCGGAAAGGTACAAAAGGATGACACTGCTCCCTGGAACACAGACACTAGCACAGATCAGTGGGAGGGACTCATTCCAGAGAATGCTCACTATCCAGACCAAAAAACATTGGAAGAGGATAATCCTGACCCTCGGATCCGAGATCTAAATGAATTGCAAATGGAACCACATCTCCAATGAGATGTTCCACAAGCAATGGAACCATATCAGCATGAAGATGTTCCAAGAGCAGTGGGGAAATACCTCCGTGGAGACGTTCCAAGAGCAGTGGGAGCACCTGATCAGCTAAGACACCCACCACAACAGTCTCTACAACCAAGACCTGAACACTGGCCATCTTCAGAACGGAAAGCCAAAGTAGAGTTACAGTCAGTGGGAGGACAAACAATACATGCTGACAATCACAGATGATTACTCTCATGAATCACATATATACCTGGTCGCCTGCAAGGAAAGCCAAAGTAGAGTTACAGTCAGTGGGAGGACAGCCCCTCAACATACAGCCAGCTGATGTGGAAAAAGTCCGAATACAGCTAGACAGCCTGTCTATTGGATCAGCTTCTGGAAGGCATACAACACCTCCAAGGAGTTATCCAACACCTCCGAGGAGTGATTCAACACCTTCAGGAGTGAGTGGGGCAACAAATACACAAATGCGTCTACTCCCTGGAGTACTTGCACAAGTTCCTAAAAGAGCAGTCATGCCTGCTGAAGTCCTAGGATTACGCAGAAGCAGTTGCCAGACCCGTCCTGCAGACAAAAACCGAGATTATCAAAGGACTCTAGATGAGGAACAGTCTCAAAAAGAGCAGCATGACAACTCCATGGAGAAACCTAACACTCCTGAGGTTCATGAAGAAACATCTGATACAGAGGAGACATTCTTTGCTGGAATAGCAAGTACCGGTCCATCTATCACAGACCTTCCAAGGACACTAAAGGAAGCCTTATCACGTCCGGATGGAGAATTATGGAAGTCTGCCTTGGAGGAGGAACTCCTAAGTCTCAATACTAATGCAGTATATGACACTGTTCCACTTCCGAAGGGAGTAAAACCCATCACATCAAACCCTGTGTTCCGGATCAAGTTTGATCAAAATGGAAACATTGAGAGATACAAACTCCGGATTGTTGCACAAGGTTTTACTCAAAGGGAGGGGATTGATTACCAGGAGGTTTTTGCTCCGGTTGCAAACTTAGAGTCAATCCGAATTATTCTAGCCCTGGCAGCAAAGTACGACCTAGAACCTGATCAAATGGACGTATCCACAGCTTATCTCAATGGAGAACTTGAAGAAGAACTGTACATGCTTCCTCCAGGGGGTGTTCCTATCCAACCTGGATACTGCTGGAGATTGAAGAAATCCATCTACGGGTTAAAACAAGCTGGTTGTACATGGAACAAAACTTTTGATCGCAAGCTCCAGGAGCTCGGTTTCACAAGACTAAATGCAGAAACATGTTTCTATGTATTCTGGGACAACAAACAAATATGCTTTGTTGTTGTCTATGTAGATGACCTCCTCCTAGGAGCTTCATCCCAAAAATTCATGGATATCACAAAAGCCAAACTCGAATCCATATTCAAAATGCGGGACCTTGGAGAAGCAAAATACATCCTCGGAATAGAAATCCAATGTGATTGTTCAAACAAAACAATATCCCTATTGCAACGCCAATACATTGACACAGTCCTGGAGCGTACTGGAATGAAGAACTGCAAACCAGTATGGACACCAATGGCCCATGGATCAAAACACCTTGCAAATGCTCCAGGGGAAGATATTGTGCAACACGAGATGCATATTGAAGGGCGTCAAGTGTCATACCTCTCAAGTGTAGGCTCCCTCATGTATGCCATGCTCGGAACCCGCCCAGACATTGCCTACGTTGTTGGAATACTAAGCAGGCATAGCTCAGCTCCAAGGAGCCATCACTGGGAAGCTGCAAAATGTGTCCTCCGATATCTGAAAGCAACCAGGGACATGGAACTACGATATGATGGCACAGATGTCTCCATGGACATGGATTTCTATGGATATTCAGATGCAGATTGGTCTGGAGACCCAGACACATCTCGATCAACATCAGGGTTTGTCTTTATCACTATCCGAGGAGCAATCTCCTGGACAAGCAAAAGACAAACCATGGTCGCTCTATCCTCCACGGAGTCAGAGTACATTGGATTGAGCAATGCTGGGCAACACCTTGCATGGCTTCGGACATTTTTTGAAGAAATTGGACATGCTCAAAATGGACCTACAAGATTGCACTGTGACAATCAAGCAGCTATCATTCTTACACGAGATCCGCAGTTCCGTGCTCGCACAAAACATATTCAACGCAAATATCATTTCATCCAAGATGACTTAGTATCAAGGGGAGAGGCAGTAATCAGATACGTTCCTACAGGAGATATGGTTACAGACATTCTCACTAAACCCCTCACTCACAAAAAACACTGGAAATTCTCTAAAGCTATGGGACTACGGTTGCACTCGAGTGGGAGTGACAAAACTGGATAAACCCGGTCTCTGCCAAAGCAGCCATTGTTCTCCATGGAGCATAGCCACCACTCCATGGAGTAACCATTGTCCTCCTAGGAGCACAATTGTACTCCTAGGAGTTGTTATACTGTAGTGAGTAGCACCTCCGACTATAAGTAGTAGGGGGTTTAGTATAGGAATACCTCAGTCGTTTCTATAGCCTCTCGGGCAGCGGCTGAGTTTCACTTAGGTTTATTAGTAGTTTCAGTTAGGTAAATAATAAAGTCATTTTTATAGCCTCTCGGGCAGCGGCTGAGTTTCACTTAGTTTTATTACGATGTGCTTCTTATATGTCATAAAGCCTCATCAAGATGGTGCCAAAAAGACCCTTTAGTCTCCATTTTTTGTAGCCTTATCCATGCAAGTAAGTCAAATGCTTGTTGAAGTCCTCTAATACCTGCTAATGTTCCAAGATATTGTTTGTGCAGCAAGATAGAAAAGGCCTTAACAAGGTGAAGCCATCCAAAGACTAGAATCATGTAGTCCATATGTTCAAAAGAGTTGAAATCTTTGTGTTTATGCCTAAAAAGTCCCCGCAGCCTGTTTACTGTCATTTGATTGCCAATCCATGGTATTACTTGCTTGGTCCAAGTATTTTTCTCTGCCTCACTGTCTATTCCTAGCTGATGGAACCATTCAGCAATAACTTTATCATTTCCCTCATAGCTTGCCTCTTCAATATCAGCTGTGCAGAGTATATATTGCTTCACAACTTGTTCTGGCCCACAAGGTAATTCTTCAACAGGTGGTGGTGATTGTAAATTTTTATCATTGCAATGGGGATAGTCCAGAAATCCAGGGGAGTCCAACAAGACTGATATTACATGGGAGATGTACTGATTTTTTATCCTTTGATGTGCAAAAGGATCTTGTATATGTTGGAGAACAGAACAATCATACATAGAACTTCACCTGGTTTCTGTTTTCTTGATTACAAATCTATCTACATAGCCACTTACATTGCATCACATGGTTAACTGCCTTAGCTTTAGCAAGCCAGTTAATATGTGAGTAACAATTATGCAAACACTATAGAAACATATTATTAATTTACTCTTGTCTAGTTTGCCAGCTCACAGTATACTGACATATAAGAAACCTCAGCACAATGGATCTGGAACTTGTGGTTGGCTCCAGGTGGAAGTGTGGCCTCATTTGGAAGAATCCACACTGTTGCAGCACAGCCACTCATGAAGTGACTCTTGTTGTGCAGTTGCTATGAGAACACTCACATAGGTATGTTGACATTGTCACGGGATACAATCCATGGTGACCATTGAATTTTAGCCCCCACTTCCTGCATAGCACAGGATGATAACTCTACATAAGTATTTGCTGTCCATTTGTGGCTCATCACAATGCCAAGAGCATGAAGAGCATCAAATGCACGTGCCGACAACCCACATTCCTTCAGGTATATGGCCCACAATTCAGTGATTTGTGCACAGTGGTGTGACCGTGTGTACTGAGCTTGTGAAATGAGGTGAAGTTTTACCTATTTGTCTGACATTAGCCGTTTCTAACTGGATGTTAGATTCCTACACCTTATGCCGAGTTAACGGAGGTGCAAGTCTCAAATCAAACAAGTAGCGTCAAATAGTGATGTTGAGAGGTAATCAACAACTAGAGAATGTATGTACTTGGGTGGTGATATATATATGTTTCTGAAGGTCAGCCATGAGGCGCTGACTGATGTACTGTGTCATAGTCTAGAATTGGTCAGGTGACTTATAAGGTCATGTGACAAGATAAGATAAATACTGCTATCATAATAATTATGTGACAGTAAGGTCATATAATGAGATAAGATTTGGAAGGTTAGAGATTGGATAAGGGTTCAAATTGTGGCACCGGATAAGACCCGCACATACCATATCAGGATCCTTGTGTGTGTTGCGTGCACACTGCTTAGCTGAATATGTTGTTCCATCTAAGATGCTTCATAAGACTAAGACTGATGCACTGTTTTTAACCTTTTCTATTAATGCTTCAAAATTAAATATTGTCAGGATAGCTCCTCTGGTGGTGAAACGAAATAAGGAGCAAGGTGTTCATTTTATATTCAACTGAGTTTCTGACACATTGTGCCGCAAAGCTGTCCAATATATGTGAGGCAACGTTAAACTATAACAAAATCAATACCCGTCTCCGACTGCACTTGCAGGGAGTAAGAGGTTCAATGAGCTTGAGGTCAACAGATGCTAGTAAATATAGCAAGTAGAGGACTTGGGAGTAAACTCAAGGATTTTGGTTGAGGAGTAAAGCGGGTAAAGCAAGTAATAGAAAGCTAAAGAACTATACATGAGATGTGTAGGGTTTATATAGCTAACCGTCCGTCCCTCAGATCGAAAAAGGTATAAACAAAAAGTAATCTGAGGAATAAATTAACCAATAAGAAAAAGGAATAACTATTGTACAACTTTGAATGATTAATCAGCAGGTGAGAGAGTTGTACTAATAATAGGTGTTGTCATGCATGTTCAGGAACCGTATCCTCATGATGAGGTATGATCCTGGCTAAAGTGTCTATTAGTATATCCAGGCACTGATGGGGCTTGGAGCTGGTTGGCAAGATGCCTACTACCAGTCCCTACCCATTGTGCTGGCTAGCTGGGAGTGATGCCCAGTCTCTGATCTGTGATATAAAGTGGTAGTGATGGTTGAGAAAGCCTGTGAGGGCTATGAGAAGTAAAATAGCAAACAATACCTCTAGCCCTAGAGCTAGAGGTGTAATGGGAAAAGTGTTTGAGAACCAAGACATAGAGAAGATAAGAAAATAATAAAATGGTCCTTACAATATACAGCATGCACCTGCCACACATTTGCCCTTGATATGGTTTTGTGGTGGCTTGTGTCAGTGCAGGAAGATTTGGGGTAACTCTTCACTCATAAGAAGAGATGTGCGGCTGTAGCAGATAGAGTCATTGGTATGACAAGTGGTGTCACCTCCCCAACTGAGAGCATTGAGAAAAAGTGGGAGATTTATGCCTTCTGCACAAATGGCTGCCAATATATTTAGCATTTTTGGGGCAAGCTCTTGCCCCTCAAGTCTGTTTTTGAGTCTACATGTCTGCTTGAGCTGGAGTGGGGGATCTTAAGATGAGAGCCCTTCATCTTCTGATTTGGACACAGACAAAAGTTTAGCATGTGTAGTACTGCCAGAGAACAAGCATCCAGAACAGTCACAGCTAGCCTGGTTATTGTCCTTATCCTTAAAGGACTTGAGCTCAAGAAATTCCTGGTTGTTGTTCATTAAGCACTTCTACACTACACTTTGTGGTACAGAGTAGACCTACCCCCTTCTCTACAAAATCAAAATGCACCCAATCCTAGTAGGTACAACTGCATATGCAAATCTTACATGTTTTTTTGCCTCAGATTTGACGACTGTCTACTGGAATCTGGAGCCAAGATTAGATGGGTCTATGCTTGACGCCTTTGACTAACATGTGATAGCCAATATTATGAAGCTTCCATTTATCTGAAAATCCTGTTGGCTTGTAAGTCAAAAATTTAAAGATGACTTATACAAACAAGCTAACAAATAGTACTCAATTATGAAAAACCAGTGCTAAATATACCACTAAATTGGTATTCCTACAAATTGGAGACATGCACAATTAATTATGTAATTGAGTCTTCCAGTTCTCTCATGTTGATAACATGGAGTCTCCTCAGATTATGATCTTTCAAGGTTGATGAGGTTGTTGGTAAGTACATCAATAATCTTTCAACTCTACAGTGAAAAAGCTAACCATCTTTTAGAATATATGGAGGCAAGGTGATTGGGGGGAGAGCTGGAAACAAAACCCAGGTCCAAGTTGTACATGAAAGAACCTTGGTTACTATTTCGACCCCCTTTCACGGTGTGACATTCTCTTTTACAATCCTACCATTGACAATACTGTCTGAGAGTGTTACAATTGACGTACCAGCACCTACTTACACTTCACTTTTTTGTACTTATACTTTTTATTTTTCCAAGTCACATGACCATTTACTTTACTTTACATTTTCGGACCTTTCATAGTCACATGACCAGTCATGTGACACAACACCTGACCAGTGTCTAGACTCATCATGTGACCGGTCACATGCTAGACATCGGACTTTAAACTTTATTTACAACTGTACAGTACCCCATGTATTTTAGTATATATACAGAAGCAATACATGGGGAGGGACTCAGTGAGTCCTCCTGTTGTCTAGCACAACAAACCCATTGAAACCTTAGGGGGTGATCCCTTCTTCTCTTCTCTCTTATGCTTGTCTGAGTTGTGCGCCAAAGTAAGAAACTCTTGGTCGTTACAGAGAGTCAGTGGCAACTCCTTCTTTACTGAATGTTAAACAATTACTGTAACAACTACAGTTTTTATACACTAGTGCACAACAAACCCAAGCAGAGTTGGGTGAGTCGGTTGACTACCTTAGGGACCAGGTTAGTTGTTGGTAGACAACAAGAGGACTTGCTGAGGAGTCTCCTTGATCTATTGGGGTATATATACTACTACAGGGTATTTGTACATGTGTACTATACAGTTGATAAAGGGGGTGGCTGATAATGTTGTAGGGCACAACACTTGTGACCAGCCCCACCATGTGAGAGAGCTGTAACTGAAAATACAAGGAAGCTGTATAGCATGAGAAAATTAAAGTACAAGTGGAGTTTGAAAATAAAGGAAAGTGCCACATGGCACAAGTGTTCAAAGTGAGAAAGAAAGTTGAAGGTCTGAAGATTGTGTACTGTAGCAATCACTGTTGGTGCATATGGGCTGGGATCTGACTATTTTTTTAAAATTACAGTCAAATAACGGGCCTTTCTTTTACCTGGAACATCAGCACGGTGGTAGCAGTAATGTATTTAAAGCATTGACAGAAAAAGTGGTGAACAGGTACATAATTGGTATTGTAAGGATTGGCTATGTACTAGAATATCTTGAAAGTCCTGTGTTTATATGTTGTTGGTAGTGTCCCATCCAGGCCAGTGTTTGTAAAGTCAGTCTAGTAGACACCAGAGTTGTTGCAGGTCAGGTATTCAAAGATACTGGGTCGAGGTTCGGCCGACATTGTGTATTTTCAGGGCCTGTATGGCGTCGGGATCTGTAAGAACAGTTAGATTGACTTCGATGTCCGCATATCAACTCCGCCTGGTAATGCAAGTATGATGTGGCATCTAAGTAGCATTTTTCCTGGAAGGACTCCCAGATTTCCGACATTTTACTGAACGGTTGACAGCAGATTTTTCAATGTTTTCGATATTGAAAGGGGCCAGTTCTAGGGCATGCGTAAGTAGAAATTGTGTCGCATGCTTGGCTTTTGTTACCAGTGTATTTCCAGGTTGCATCCACGGTCCAGAAACGTTTCTTGTCCTTACATGAGTACCAGTCGATGAAAATTCTGAATTCAGTGGGGTCTTGTCATGTCAGAATACCTTATTTCTTAACACTCATATTCTCATCTATAGTATGGCGTTTCGACTCCCAAGAGTGTTGTTGCCAAGTCACCAGAAGAGGCCTACGATGTAGCCCAGGGGTTCGGTAAGTGTTCCGGTCGAACATGTTTGCCATCTTTTATGGGTGCATAGGCAATACTCCACTTGTCATCAAGGCTCAGGTTCTAGCTGGTGGTCGTGGAAAGGGCAAGTTTGAAACCGGATTACAAGGGGGCGTACATTACATTAACAGGTTAGGATCATTATGGACGCTGCGTTAACTAGGCGGCTGACTCATTTCAGTCCTGAGCAAGCAAGAGAATATGCCAGCAGGATGATCGGTTCCAAGCTCATTACTAAACAAACTGGCGCTGGTGGCAGAATTTGCAACGCTGTATGTTTGTTTCTTAATAATACAGACGAAGATTACACTGATTTGTATATCTTTAGGTTATGTTTGCTGAGCGGCATGAGTCCTCTCATGAGTACTATGTAGCAGTGCTCAACGACCGTGTGTCTCAAGGACCCATTCTCATCGCGTCAAGTCGTGGCGGCATGAACATCGAGGAAGTCGCAGAGAAAGATCCTGGAGCAGTGGTTGTGACCTCCATTGACTATGAACAAGGTATCAATAAGGATGATGCACTCAATATTGCAGACAAGATCGGGATCAAGGCTCCTCGTGCTAAAAAGCAGGCAGCTGATATATTTATAAACCTCTATAAGATTTTCAAAGACAAGGATGCAACTCAAATAGAGATTAATCCCATGACAGAGACAGTCGATGGTCAGATACTATGGTGTGTGCTTGTCTTGCGTTTTCAAAGCTAGTCACACATTTAATATACCCTAGTATGGATGCCAAATTGGCTTTTGATGATAACGCAGAGTTTCGACAAAAGGATATTTTCAAATTGCGCGACATTTCCCAGGAAGAGCCCTCTGAAGTGGAGGCCCAGCAAGCAAATCTCAACTTTATCAAGTTGGATGGTAGTATCGGGTGTTTAGTCAACGGTGCTGGCCTGGCCATGGCGACTATGGATGTTCTGTCACTGCATGGCGGGAATCCAGCTAATTTTCTGGATGTTGGAGGGTAGGCATTAACACACTCTTGTCAATGAATATACACAATACTGATAACTACTGTACTAGGGGTGCTACCCCCGATACGGTAAAGAAAGCTTTCGAGATTCTCTTGGGTGATCCAAAAGTCAAGAGCATTTTCATCAACATTTTCGGAGGTATCATGAGATGTGACTACATTGCAGAAGGAGTGATCAGAGCTACCAAAGAACTCTCTGTAGGCATACCACTAGTCGTTAGGCTCAAGGGTACAAAAGAGGTGGAGGCAAAACGGTGTGTTTTCGTTTGGTACCCCTGATCAATACCCATGTTCATCGCTTCTAGGATGATTCAAGAATCCCAACTGAAAATAATTCCTTTTGACAGTTTGGATGAAGCTGCTGATAAAGCCGTAGAATTAGCTCAGAATTAGAATAAGTTCATGTTTCGTGCCGACAAATATCAGTATTTTCCGTCGCTTCGTTTTGTAATACTTTGCACTGCACTTTTGGGGAAAATGATGCTGACTTTGCCTTGTCAAAAACCTATGTTATCAGTGAATTCCTGGTCCCACAGTGACCAGGTTTGATCCATCGCATTCCCCGTCGCAACTCGTTTAGGACCGACTTCCGATTTATACTTGTTTGTTTTTTCTTTGGTGTCACCTGATTTTTGGTACGCTTCTACATATACTGCTACATGTTGATTTCTCTACTTCACCTGAGAATCACCTCATCCTTGGTTGTGTCTGAGTACTGGTTGTAATCAGGTTGTGTTGTTGACATATTGTTTGCAAATCTGAACAGGACATTGAAGGGGGGAGTACAACAGTTTGTTTGAGACAGTGGTACTTAAAGATCTTTTTATTGGTGTTTAACAGTGAAGAATGTCCTGCACTTTCTTTGTGTTGAATTGGATGGATGCTACCTACATGAACATATTTGTGGTGTCATTGCTATTACTTAGTCAAAAGTGTATAATGTTATGATAAATCATCAATGGTGGCGAGGGACATGGCTCCCTACACTGCCAATTCGCCAAATGCTTCACTGAAGCTTTTGACACCACTGGCCTCTAAAAGTGTCCCTCCAATGTTTGTAATCATAATTTCGTCTAAATGCTGCAAAGCTGCATGGAGTTAATAATGCCAAGCTCTTTTCTAATGGGTTATAGTGCGTAGATAAAAACCAAAGGATATGATAATCTTGTTCCAGAAATATTACTATTAGGCCAGAATCAAGGCTTTGTACTGATCAATTATATGCTGTGAAAAATATCACCAAAATTGTCTGTGAAACCTTTCCCGAGCACATTTTTTGTTATATATGAGCAAAAGATTCAGATGTTCTCTGTCAAAGCCTCATCACATCATTTATATATTAGTTAAGCTTTTAGCCTCTGTCAAGGATTTATTCCACTCTAAGGCCACTGTAAAATCAGACAGACAATATTTTTTGCAAATAAAACAGCATAATCATAGCTATTACACAGAATCATGTTACAGACATAGTAAACTAGCAATCACGTTGAATATATTACCATACCAGCTTTGAGTTGATAGCTTTTTGTCATTCAGTGTAAACTGTGTTGAGGGGAGGAGCAATCTTAGGAGGCCTTCCATAGATTTCCATATCAGTCTGAAGACATTCAGTGAAAAAACTGAATCAGAAAAAAAAGTATGGTACACATACTCCTTGACTTTATATTTGCATTCTTCATCAGTTGCTGATTTGCTACCAGCGTCTTCTCAGACTTCAATGAGAAGTTCATCCAGAAAAGTCTAGAATTGGTTACTTTTCCACGCCCTATCTGTGGCCCGTTGTCAATGATGAGAACTGTTGTTAGAAAACCACACACAAAACAAAGTAACACACAATCCTCCCAGATTCCACGGAACTTGTTTATGGGTTTTGCCTCCTAGAACAGTGGGTGCTCTGGTTGTTCGTGGGGTGGTATGTATGACGATCCTTCAAAGTAAAACCCAGAGATGTATGGGTGTGGGTTTTGAGGAGGAGGGATAGTTGAACTATAGAAGATAGGGGCTTTTTGAGATGAATATAGGATGAGCACTACCTTGCTAATCTTAGCACAAGGTAGGTTTGAGAATGACAAGATAACGAGGTTCCCAGTGATAGCAGGCTCCTGACGCACAAACTGTAGTGCTCAGAAGGACTCTAATTGAAAGGGATGACAATCACTTTCAAAAGTGACAAGTAACAATGACAGCAGTCAACAGTAGTAACAGTGGGAAGTGTTGTGACTACACTGGATCACAAGTAGCAGAGTAGTGAACTTGAGATTTAGAGAAGAAGTCTGGATTGGATTTCTTGTTTTTTTTTTTTTTACAAGGTAGAATACAGGGGTTTATATAGTAAAAGAAAAGTAGGCTATGCACAGTATAGCTGTGCAAAAAGAATGAGAAAGAACATGAAGGAAGGAATGTATGCTGACAAATCTTGCATAGGTAGTACAGGATAAGATTGTCAGAAAAAGGAAAAGAAAGGGATAGAACAATGAATGCTGTGAGTAATGTCACAGGTTTGTACAGCCATAAAGTAAAGTCCAATAGCAAAAAGAGAGCAGGAAAATCATGATGTCATGGGAAGATGCAGTAAAAAAAAGGGCAAGGCAAAACACTATCAGTATCAACACAGTTCCTTTATTGTCAGTCAGGCATTCCAAAAAAATATGTGTCCATAAAAATGATTCAAAAATCAAAATAATCGCACTGCAAATGAATGTTCTGCTGAAAAAAAAGAAACTGGAGCCACCAGTCCACCACCTAGTCCAAATCCGACGGTTCCATGGCCTTACCAATGGACTGGTTGTGTTGGACCACCTGGACAAACGAAGGAGGGAGAGCAGTAGTTCCAATTTAGAACAAGTGAGTCCCAGGCAGCGTGTGGTAGGTGTAGCTGTAGTGAAGACAATGGATAAAAGATAAGTGTACCCAAGTGAATGGGACAGCAATGAACATGGGTGACGCAAGGGGAAGAAACTTGTGCACAGTATACTGCATTCAAGCAGATAGTTCATTGAACCTTTACAAATATCAACATATATTGTAACGTAATACGTCTATGGTATTACATTGATAAATTGATGAGAAATAAAAAAAGAGACTACTAAAATGGTAAAGGACAAAAATATAATCTGATAACAAAAACACTCTTGGTAAAAAGGGTGAGAATTGGGGAAAAATCTACTTGCCAGTGATAGATAAAGCCAGTCAGAATTTCGGGATACACCACATTGATGGTATATCTGTCATTTGAACCATGTGGAAATAGCACATTCATTTTCTCTCCTGAAGTGCAGCGAGACAATGCAACATAACATTGCCCATGTGAAAACACTAGAACATGTAAATCCAGCCCAACCTGTGTCACTGATTGACCTTGAGACTTGTTGATGGTCATGGCAAAGGCAGCACAAACAGGGAATTGACGATGTGATAGCTTGATGGGCAATTCTTCTGATGAAGGTTCCAATGTGAGGCGTGGAATAAAAGCTATTTTTCCTGCATGTTTTCCTCCCAAGACATGGCACTTCAATACTTTTATCTTCATCTCTATCAAAATCATGTGTGTTCCATTACAGAGTCCATTTAGGGGATCAATATCACGGAGGAGCATAAGCGGAAGACCATATACTTGCAAGGAGTTCAAGAATTCCACAGGATAATATTTATGTCCCTTTCCAACCACTTACAGAGCTGCTAACTCTTCTCCAGGGAATTTTGTGAGCATTGCTGAATTAAGGTAACTAATATCATCATTTTTTTGTGGAGAGGATGGTGCAGTGGAGGAAATAATGGTCATCTTTGTCTCCATTTGCAATTCCAGGATAGGTAGTGTTGACTAATGAGTCTATGGTGTTTTCTGGCATAAGCATGTTGGCGGGAAGCTCAATAGTCCCATCTCCTGCAATTCCACAATCACCACCAACATCCAGGGCCAGCTAGAAGGAGCAAAGGCACCCAAGTGACCTATGCTCCAAATTCTTTATATTGTGTACAAAAAGTGTGTGGTTGTGTTGGGATTTGATAAAGCCAAGGGGTTAGCAAAGGTTACAGAGAGCTTCGCATACCACTGTTTACCAGCTTTTATCAATCTGTATAATCCTTCAATGAGCTTGCACACTTATCCTTTTTGTTCTGCTTTTCGATAATTTTACGGCAGGTACATGTATATATATCCTCATCAATGGTAGCATTCAAATAGGCACTTTTAATGTTTATATTTGATGTAGTAGTTCCCAGTCCTGGGCAGCAGCATGAGTGAGAATAAGTCGGATGGTTGTCAAACATGATACTGCCAAATAAGTCTCTTTGTAGTCGACACTGTACTGCTGCTTGTTGCCACTTTTGACTAACCAAACCATGAATTTTAGGATCTTGCCCTCAGGACTGCGTTTTATTCTGGGCACATAGTAACATCTTGTGAAGGTGTTGTTTGGCAGCACTTTGACAAGTTGCCAGGTATGTAGATTTTTGATTTGTTTTAATTTCTTGTTAATAGCATCCAGCCATTTGGCTCTATATGGTCCTCATAGCACGTTGGCCATTATTGGTGTGTCTCTATCAAGTTGAGCATCTGGATCTGCAGCTAGAAGGCAGGTGCTTGTGTAAGCATTTTTGTTGCTACTTTCATTGCCTGACTCAGCTGATTTGATCACAGCGGTTGATGCAGCACTCTATCCTTTGTGCAAAGCTCTATAGTAGCCTGGTGGTTTCAATTCTGCATGCCTAGGATGTTTGCAAGGCTCAATAGCAGGTTCAAAGGCTTTGGATGGAGGATTTGGAGGGATCAGATGGTCATTTGGGGGTGGATGGCGAGTTGATTTAGTGGATGAGGCTGGATGGCTGGTGGCACAATCAGATGAGGTTCAAGATGACGTTGATAGGCATGATCGAGAGGAATCAGTAAGTCTTCAATAGCAATATTTTCATGCATGGCTGATGAGTTTGTTTTGATGCTAGGTTGATCTGAATGATTGTCAAAGATTGAGAAGTCGCCATTGAGGGTGTTAGCGGGAGCAAATCACTTGTTTGGGTTGAATTTGAAATTATGTTTGATGGAAACGGTACCTTGATCAGATCTGAGGATTCTGATTTTGACTTGGTTCTTTTTAGTTCCTATACTTAAACATGACCTTGTTCTTTGTTGCAAGCAAGCATAGGTGGGTCTCTCTGGTATAATTGTCGTAAATGTTAACATATAACTTTTTCCTTTGATGTCCTGGACTGCAGCTGGGCCTCAAACATCTGAGTGGATCTGTTCACCATAGGATTTGGCTCGGGTCTGACTGACCTTAGGAAATGGTATTCAGGTAGCTTTAGCATGTATGCATGGTTCACAGAAGACTGCCTTTTCAGAGGTATCGAGGTTTATGCCTTCAGCTAAGCCAGATTTTATGAGATGTTTTAGGGAGTTATGTGATATGTGTCCCATTCAACAATGTACATAATTGGTTGATTGTGAGAGTCGTTGTGAAGTAGGCCCTTTGCTTTGTAGTGCTGTTTGCTGATGGTATGTGATATATGTTAGTTTTGGTGAAAGCAGAAAGAATGAGATGAAGTATGAGAATATAGATATTAAAAAGAAAAACATAATGAGAGTGAATGTATAGTACTAAAAAATACATCAAATAACCATGTCATGGTTTTGGCAAACTACATATGACTCAGATACCTCACCACCAACTCAGTTCTGGTATGTGAAGGTCCTAGGTATCTACCATTCAAATGTCCTATATGTAGGACCAGGAATGACTATCCAGCCTGCTGCCTTAATTTTCTGGGGCTAAGAAGGTATGAAAAATCCAATTCCATGGTCTCTCTTAACTCATTATCAAGGCTCTCATTTTTATCCATGGATGATGGAGATGCTTTTGAGTTGATTGACCAGCAGACATTATTCGTGGTTGTCACATAATGCCAAATTTCTCAATGGGAAAGCTCCACCCTGATGGTATTGGATTATCTCTATCAGCCAAAGATAAAGGAGACTACAAAGTTTACTTAGTTAATCAGTGCGTAGGATATAGCCATACTCTCATCACACAATGTTGCTAATCATTGACCTATAGATTTGTAGACCATGATATTTTCATGCATCATTACTGGGGCTTAGCACCCGGTCATGTCTACACAAAAGACTCACCAGCAACCACCAAGAAGATGCAGGTCCCAGCTAAGCTGCCTACAAATAAGGTGTATCGAAGAGGGCACCTGCAATGACCTTTTAGAGAGGAAGAATTCTGATGAAGGTTCAGATGTCAGTAATAACAATGCCAAGTCATAATTTGATGAAGAGTATATTGATATGTATGGCAAGGACTTACTAGAGGATTATGGACACTTTGATTGATTCTTTATCTGTGCTGTCTTTGGTTTGGATTCTGTGAGTTAAATCTTTGATTTTGAATTGGCTAGCTTGTTACATGACATGTTGTAAGATATTGTAGTTACTGACTTGGCCTTGATAGTTAATGCTCAGACTGATGAGCTATTACAGGACATCATTGTACAGGCATAAGATTGTAGCCATGTACCCTTCAGCCCATAATCCTTAAGGGAACCAGTAATGCTAGATATACTCTGATAATTAGACAACACTCGGTTATAAACTCTGTGTAACGAGGCTGAAATCCGAATCGATCCAAATGATACCCATCCAACCAACCTGGCGCTAGTCCAGACTCCAACCACTTGGCGGGGTGTTCTCCTACATCCTAGTGTAGCCACATTTGATTACATAATAAATACTTCTCCAAAGTTTTATCAAAACTTTAGTGTTGAGGATAACACCCCAAGCCGACTGGAAAACTTTGCTGTGGCTGAATATTTAGGTCTATTTGTTCACCCTGTAAGAAATGGTGCTCCTGCCAAAAGAAGACCAGCCATACGGAGTAGCATAATAAAAGTTACCAACACCAAAATTGGTAGGTAAGTTTGAACATGCAGAGTCAACGTGTAGGGGGAAGAGACAGTTAGAATGGCACACTTTTCAAATCCTTTAGACAGCTCAAATGATCTCGGAGGGTATCAACAACATCTTGTACATTTTAAAACAAAATAATACTACTTTGTCATCACTTCTCTATGAAATCCTTAACAGTTAATCTTTTACTCATTGTGGCACCCAAGAAATGATTGTCCAAGAGGCTGAAGACATCTGTAGAGTCTTGAAAATGGTTGAAAGATGTGGACTTACTTTGAATGCTTCGTCAGTGGCTGATTTGGCTGTCAGACAAATAGCAGGGATATTGATGTCTTTTAGCTCATCCGCATTTTTGTCCCCAAGGATATTGAGTGGTGTAATAAGGATCATGACTCTGTCATGGAAGAGCAGAGGGATCCAGAAGCACAATGTTTTTCCCTGAGCCTGTAGGAGAAATAGTAATGACGTCTTTTGCCTCTAGCTGAGCCCGTGCAGAACAGATTTGCCAAGGGCAAGGCTGAAACCCAAATGTTGAATATACAGTTGCTGATATCTCGTCGATGCTAGGAATGATATTTTGTCAAGAAGACATCAATGATGCTGGCTCAAGAAGGCAACTGTGGTGGAAAGAAGTCAAAGTTTACGCAATGTGATACATGGTCTCTGCTTCCTATGGCTGGTCTTCTTTTGGCAGGAGCACCGTTTCTTATAGGGTGAACAAATAGACTTAAATATTCAGCCACATCAAAGTTTTCCAGTCGGCTTGAAGTGTTATCCTCAACACTGAAGTTTCGATAAAACTTCGGAAAACCATTTATTATGTAATCAAATGTGGCTACACTGGGAAGTAGGAGAACACCCGCTGAGTGGTTGGAGTCTGGCACTAGTCGTCAGATCACGCTCACTGCTCATGCAGACTCTATACCTATCCATTCTTTATTACTGTGTTGTCCTCATGGCCAGTCGTTAGCTTTGTATTTGCACTTGTTAGCTTGCTGATCCTCGTTATTACCATAGTTGTATAAGACCCACTGTACTTGATAGTGATCTGCAGCTTTGAATTCTAGACTTACACCAGTTACTATTGTTGGACAGATGTTGCAATCCGGACCCTTTATGCTCTTGGGCCTCTACAGGCTCTATAATCATTGTACAACCCCATAAAAATTTGTCAGAGGTAGAATAGAATGTAACAAACCATAATGTAAAAGAATTTTGTGAATACTCTACCTCTAGCAATAACAACAGACCTGACACTACAGTCTTGACCTCCAAAAGTGTGAAATTTGAGGCCAAGAGGGCTAAATTGGGGCAGATTGTGTGCTGGGAAAGTCACAAAAATTTCTAAAAAATGTCAACGGGTAAACCCCCACAAAGTCCGATGTTTAGCATGTGACCAGTCATGGTGAGCCTAGACACTGGTCAGGTGATGTGTCACATGACTGGTCATGTGACTATGAAAAGTCCGAAAATGTCAAGTAAAGTAAATGGTCACATGACAGGTCATGTGACTTGGAAATAGTAAAAGTAAAAGTACAAAAAGTGAAGCATAAGTAGGTGCTGGTATGTCAATTGTAACATTAAGGCACCTGCAGATGGAAGAACAAGAAGAAATTGTGACTTCAAGACCCAAACAGGCAATCACGCATCAAGATAATCATTGAAGCTCCGCTTTGGCAGGCTTGGTGTCACACACAATGATTGTTTGCTCTTATCAAGCCCACTCCTCTCAGGCTCACTGTCATCGATTCTCTTGCCGCCAATGGCCCCCATTCGAAACAAACGGCAACTTCAGCGGGCCTTGCCTTCTCACTGTCACTCACCTTCTCGCCAACAGCCCAACATTGAGGAAGATGACCTCGAGAAACACATACAAGCCGCATGTGAGGCAACAAACAATGGGATTGCCAAAAACCTCAAGGCAGCCTGTTGGGACTTGGGCATCTTGAAGCACTACTACACGGCCCTCAAGAGGTTCAAGGGGAAGTCTGTTCCGTTCAATGAGGCTCATGTCCAATGCCAACATCTGAATTCTGCACAAGACAAAGTGTTGTTGGAGTGGATTATATTTTTAGGTAATACTGGATGCCCCCTCTGCAAGCAAACAATATCACCATATGTCTACAATATGTGCCAAGTATCCTTCAGAGAAATGGGTCCGACTTCCTCAAGAAACACAAGGATAAGATCACCTCATGTCGCCCTTCAACTATTGATCCCATGCAGGCTCAAGCCTTCAACCGCAACATCGTCCAGGATTTTTTTGAGAAGCTTGACAAGGTCTAAGGAGAACAAGATTCCATGGGAGAATGTGTATAATATGGATGAAAAGGGGATCCAGCTTGGAGGCGGTCAAAAGTGGAATGGCCACCATTTTTTTTTCTCTTACAATGACCAACAAAACTATGAGATCCATGGTGGTACCCTGGAGCTTGTAACAGTAATAGAATGTATTTCTGCAGTCAGGTAGCAGCATCCCCCCTGGATTTATCTTTGCAGGAACAACAATTGATCCAGAATCATGTGATGTTCACCCCGACATTTCGTGAGTTTATCAACTTTTATATTTGATCTTCCACTAACAAAGCTTAGTTACATCAGAAAATGGATGGACTAACAACTTCCTTTGCACCAAGTGGTTTAGAAAAACATTTATTCCACAGACACGCGCCTAACACCAGACTGGAAAGCCCATCCTCCTCATCTGCAACGGCCACGGGTCTCACATAACTGTGAACATGATTGAGCTCGCGGTGGAGAATCAAATCCACCTACTTTTTCTTCCTCTGCACACCACCCACCACCTCCAACCTCTTGATGTTGGTGTATTTGGTCCCATGCAAAAGGCTTGGTACAACTGCTGCAAGTTGTACACAGCAAGGACAGGCGAAGGAATTTGTCAACACCATGCCGTCAAAGAATACTGGGAGGCATGCAAAGGAGTATTTGTAACTAATACCATTTTACAGGCATGGCACAAAAGTGCGCTCTGTCCCCTCAATCCTGGTTTATTCACTGCGGCTGACTATGCACTGAGCGCTTCAACTTCAACAGCCAACCACGCCCCACTGTCGTACCCGGATACTTTCCCTGATGGCTGGATGGATGGTACCTCGTTGTATGACCCAGATTATGCTCCCAATGATGCAGCTCCGAGCCCAGACTCAGACATAAGTTCTGAGGGAGCAGGGGATTCCGATGATGGGTCAGACTCCAGTATCTGTGAGGATGAGGGTGAGGATAGCAATGTCAACATGGGCAGCAGGGACGCTAATATTGCCAGTGGGGGCAGCACCAGTGGCTCTTTCCCCTCCTCTTGTTCCAGTTCATGTGCAAGCACTCCAGGGGCCATGTTAGTCAAGCTGCACCCCACGTCCCTGCCCATAGCAAAGTCAAAGAAGAACCTCGTCGCAATAATCCACAAGCTTCAAGTAGAGCGTGATGAGGCGCTATGGGAACGGGACACTATGCAGGGGCATAGTGTCTTTATGATGCACGAGTTTGAGCATGTGAAGGATTGGTTAAATTTGGTGAAGGGCTGGGGGAAACAAAGGAAGGGGTTATGGGTGCACAGTGAACTCTTGACGAGCGCAGAGTTGCGTGCCAGGCATCTTGCTGAGGAGGAGGCTCACAAGGAAAAGGAACGGAAGGCAGCAGAAGCAAAGGCAAATAAGGATGCAAAGGCAGCTGAGCACCAGGTGCAAATGAGCTTGCTGGATGGGACTGAGGTTTTCAATGGAGCGCTCATGTGGCAAGACAAAGCCGGACCTCCAGCTCATTGCCGCAGCGCTCAATCTGAGTGCTGATGGCAAGAAGCAGGAGGTCTTGGATTGCATCAAGATGCATTTCCAAGAAAATCCTGACCTGGAGACTCACAGCCACTTTTCAGGCTTATTCGGGGCTTGTACACAAAGACAAGCACTGGCCCCCAATGGGCCCCAAGGCGTTACTCCCCCTCTGCCCCCCTCCACCTCCTCACTACTATCTGACAACTTATCCTTGCATGTCAGCCCCTCTCAAGCAGGGCCAAGTTCATATCATCACAGCCATATCTATGCATCATCCCCCGGGCCTCCCAGCCAAATGTCGTGCGAGGCTATGAGAAGACTAATAGAGAATATTTCTCAGTCTTATAATCAAGAGACTCATATTAAATGATAATCTACCTAATAGAGAATATTTCTAAGAGTGTAAAGTGAGTATAGAGATAGAATGTGGACTGTAGAATAACCAGACATACCTCAGTCTTATAATCAAGAGACTGAGGTTTGTGTAATGTGGAATGCTACGAGTTTTGGAATAAGTGTGGGAATAATTTGAGCTTATGTAATGTGATGAAAAGCGGTCAATCAGAGAATAAAGGATAATGTATGGATAATGATGAAATAGAACATAGAATGTTAATATGCTATGAATAAAATATGCCAACATGTCGTATCTCCCAGGTCCTGCGTTTCTCACTGATCATCATGCAATGTCACCATTCTCTCCCTTTCATTCATCTAACTCGAGTTACTATCAAAACTCGTCATATTTTATACCTACAAACTTTACATATAATCATAACAGCATGTCTGATAAGTAGCTAAATACAATTTTGCTGGCTTCACTTCCTTGCACTCAACATTGAAAACTCGCACCCACACCCGCATCTGAACTTGTCATTCTTTTCGATAGTTTGGCCGAACATTGCCGACAAGCTCCGCTTGCTTCTGTCGAACGTGCCGTGCGTGACCAAGCGTGACGAATAGTTGCAAGACTGGTCCAAAACCTACTCTGATTCACTTTTTTATTTCTACACAGGGACCTAGAGAACTCAAAATAGCAACTACTCGTGGTCTTCCGAAGACTCTAGCTCCACTCACTGGTGAGCAATTTCACTCCTCGCAAAAACGAGTGCAACATCTGTCCAACAATAGTATAGTTTGAGGACTTGGGGCGTTAGCGTTACGCGAACGTCACACTCCGACTGGTCATACCAAGGCCGTCCGGTTGTCGAACCTCACAACTAGTGCTTTTGCCTTGATATACGCCATACTCGACTTACTTTTCTGACTTAGGCAGCTCCTGCTCATGGCTGACCACGACTCCGTCCGAAGACGGATCATTACGTCTGTCTTTGAGAAGCGCAATACTGCAGGCGTAGTGGTGGAAAGCTATGTTGCTCATATCAAAATATGGGAGGACTCGGGCGATGGTTCAGGGAAAAAACCGCGGTATATACTCCTGTCATGTACGTTCATGTTTCCTGCACACAGAACCCAGATGTAACTTGGAAGCAGGTTCCAACGATGGATCTGGATTTATTCATAAGTCTAAATTAAACACCAATGGGTCGTTCTCTGTAGGCAAAACTTGGAAGCTGCTTGAACTACGTGGAATTGAGGTTGTCACTGTATGTTTTTACCAATACTCAATGAGTACACACTAGCCCTGATTGACAATTTTGCATCATAGCCAATGTCTTTCAACATCACTCTAGCAAGAACATACAAATGGCAGACAGAAAATCAGTCGGATCAGTCGAACTTTATCACTGCGATTATCAAGCTTTATCGTACCGTCACGAACGATACAACCCCTCTACAGCTCGCTGGAGTAAAAGATAATAACTGTGCCACTTGTAAGCTTGCTTTTTCGTCCTACAGATATTTTTAATGTTGAGTTTTCATGATTCGTGTAGCCAACAACTCGTCATCTCACGTCGAAGTAGTTGATACATCACGAGCACAGACTGCGTCTGCTGGGCTACCGATGACGAATGGAGACCTGAGGCACTATCCTATTAATTCAAGACCCCAAACGCCTCCTCAGCAGGATAGTGAGTCAGAGAAGCCTCCGCCTACAATGGCTCGCTCTCCGTTAAGGCTTCGATCTCCCTCTCGCTCCTCTTCCCCTGCCGATTCTAACCGGGACTATACACCACCAAATCTCGGTTATTCTAACACACCATCTGCTAATCGTGCTTCCTCGCCGACTACCGTGCCCGCCCCTCAGCCGCCAGTAATTTCTTTACCTAGTGCATTAAGACCGAGAGTTGGCCGCCGTCCTTCAAATGCTGCGTCGACGTCAAGTCAGGTATCAACCATCAATCTCCCGGCGGGCCTAGTACCATCAAAGTTGAATCTCGGAAGTGACTTAACATTTTCTACTTCGCGTCCTCCGTTGGAAGTACCCGTTTCCTCATCCCCTCTAGCTACATCGCTATTGTCAGCTCCTCCATACGGAGCTAACACCCCTCCTGAAACGCCAACACCTAATCACCCCCAAGGATCGACCTCACGAAACGGTAATATCATGTCTGGCACCCCTCAACCTCGTCGAGAGTATAACAACAATCGCGTTTCGTTTTTTGACCACGCTAATCAAGCACTATTGGACCGACTTGTCGCTGGCGATTTTGGTATTGATGATGAGGATGAAGGTCAACAGGAAACTGTGCAAGCCATAATGGCTAGCGTAGAAGACATGTTGGAGGGGTATGAGTGGGCAAGCGACGATGTTTTAGGAAAAAATACTGCAAGAAAGGCTGCTGACTTGGTCGAGGCGCGGCTTCTTGATGAATTGACGGCTTTGGAGAAGGTGAACAGCCCCAAGCATACCACAGCCCGCATTTGCAAACGCTGAATCCATCATTTTTAAGGCCAACATCCACTCATTCTTGGAATCGGATGATAGAGTCAACCTTGTCATCAATTACCTCGATACAGCTATCTCTGAAGTTGATGGCATGGGCAGTCTTGTATCATCATATAAGATTCATCTGAATGTAAGAGTTTTTTGTGCATGCCTAGTTGCTCTTGCTAATAATACTCAGGCCGTTGGCGATGATATTGAATACATACAATCGCAACAACGTGGTCTTCAAGTGCAAACTCAGAACCAGCGAATACTTTTGAACGAACTCGAGAACCTTCTTGTGCGTAATTATTTTCGTGGTTCGTATCGGTCTAACCCAGGTGTATACATTTAGCAAACGGTCCAAGTTGACCGGGAGTCGTTAGTAACTCTCACGCAAGAATCTCTCGAAAAACCTGCTGGTATACAAAGGCTTGAGGGGGCCGCAACCGAACTGTACAAGGCCCTGCAGGCTGGTCGTGACACAGGTTGGTCACAAACACGGCTCTTCTCTTGAATTCATCCCAAAGATAGTCGCAGATATGGCTGCTACAATGGCAAGGCTCGATGAATACAGGACACACAACGCACAGTTCTGCAAGAGGATATTCGATTTCCTATCTATCATGATAACGGTGCAGGTGGGTCCGTGTGTTCCCCACACATACCTTGTATTTGACGTTACGCTATCAGTCTAAGGTTATCCTTGATAATCATAACGGGATTGAAAAGCCGTCAGGCCGAAGTCGGCCCACTATCGCAAACCACCAGTCGATGGAATCCTACTTGGGACGGTATGCAGGCCTTATGCTCTATCTCAAAGAAATGGATGAATCAATATATTCTAAACTATGTGCTGTATGCGCTGAGCCTCCGCTACAACGTTTGATACTCATACCCATAAATTTAGACTTATTTCTCTGCAGCAAGCAACCTTCACAATAAACAAATCAAAGCTTTACTATCTGGGTATATCACTATTGTCAAGCGCCCAGCAGAAGAAGATGTAGAACAAAGTGGGCATGGATTAGTTCGGTAATCAGATTTATAAATACTCACTGTGGCACAAAAGATTTTAGTGCGCCGGTTTCACAGAACCAATCTAAGACAGGTGGTGCCATACGTCGTGCCGGAACAATTGTGCGCTCTCCCATAGACAGCCGAAAAGACAGGGATAGTGACAGAAACAAAATTAGCAGTGATGACATGCGAACATCGGAGGTTAGCTATGTGTCCATTTTTTTATTATTTTCGTTTTCGTTGCTAATGATGATATTAGGCTCTTGAGCTCATCCTAGAACAAATAGCACCGCAAATTTATAGAGAAAATGACTTTATCGCCGACTTCTTGCAGATCAATGATGCTGGACTCACTTTCGCTGACTACTCTGGGCTTGATAATTATTTCCGAAGACAAGCAGCACGTAGCATGAACCCAAGTCAATCGACTATGAAGCTTGTAAGAGGTGCCATGGACCTAATATTCGGGTTCCTCCCCGCAGAGCTCAAGGCTTGGCTAGACACTACTCTGGCGAACGATGCCTTGTAAGTATCGTGTTGTTCACAAAAGAAGAATGACTGAGAGCCTTCACGTGGTTCAGACAAATTATCGGCGTCCTTGTATGTTTAGAGCGCTTCCTAGCTGATGCAGACGAGAGAGACAGCGCATTCCTTCTGCAGATATTGGAAAAACTACATGGCCGACTGAAGGGATCTTTCGACCGTCATGTGGTAAGCATTTTTTTTTTTACGTGAGGACTACTCCGTGCTTATCTCGCCTTTTTCAGAATCAGCAGATGAAGGCCGTAGAAGAGACGAAACTCACTAGCAAGAAGCGAAAAGGCGTTGCGTATTTCATCAAATACTTTCCCATATACATCACTCGGATTGAACAACAGCTAGTTGGCACAGATGGCCTTGAAATCCGAGCACATGTTGATTCGGCTTACGAGAGGATTGTGAACAGTATGTTCGACTCTCTTAAGCAGATGGCTACATTGGGTGGCGATGGGGAAGATAAAGGGCAACTGAACTACCATGTCATTCTCGTCGGTGAGTGTGGAAAGTACACACAATCTGGAATAATCCTTATTATTTCACAAAGAAAATATGCATCATTTCGTCGCAGAGATTTCCCCGCTGGAGATAAACACTGTGACGATATTTTTAAAGCAAGCCGAGTCTATCTACAATGACAATCTAAGCGCCTATGTCAAGATTGTGCTCAGAAGACCTTTTGCAAAGGTCATTGTGAGTCTTCAGATACTTCAGCATCAGCCCTGTAATTCTCATGGATCTCTGACTAGGATTATC